TATAGGAGTCATGGAACTTGGCATGCATTATTTAGGACTGGGATAAGGAGGATAAAAAAAATCAAACGAAGAGAGATTGTTCAAAAATATCCCATAGAGATTTCCCGTATATATTTTTTTCTCTTATTATACCTACTCCTTACGAGTTTTATTTTCACTGCAAAAGTCTATCTTTAGACCAAAATTCAGAATAATGTAATGTAACGAATAACTTTAATATGTCATAATAAAAAGTGAAAAAAGCATGATTTCATGACGCAGTAAACGCGACGGGTTAAAAATATATGATTTTATTTAAAAAGGGGAAACGAGATTTTAATCATATCTTTCTGCACAACATGTTTTCTTTTTCTTACACACTGCGTTGTTTATAGGTACATTTTATCTCCGAAGCTCCCGAACCTTTTATGTTCCACCAACTCCACAAAGCACATAATGTCATGAATATATGTATGAAACGAGAAGAAACCGTTATATTTTTAAGAACATCAGTTAAAAAAAGGGTTTCTTTAAACAAACAGCGTTTAAGAAATCCCTTGTGTTGTTTTTAGCGTAGAACTATGCATAATGGAACTGGAAATTATTATTGTATTGTAATTATCAACTAGGTATGCTGGCCTCGACAAGACTAACCTAGTAAAGTAAATAAGTAATCATAATTAATACAGTCAGCATCAGGTCAAATTATCCTACACTGATAAACTTAAAAAATCATATTCAAAATTTCTTAATTCAAATTGGAAACATAATAAAACTCTTTTGAATTGTCCACATTTTTTTGCTATGAAGTAAGGAAAGAACTTCACAGCGTTAAATTATGAACTCGAACGTATAACTTTACCACTACGATTATAACAATGGAGCGAGAATATTTGAGACTTTGTTAACGCCAAACCCATTCATTTAATTGACCAAGAAGACTCTATTAGCGGACAGGGTAGTTAGCTGGGGTTAGAAATCTGCTACTGTTGCTCCCGGGACAAAAGCTAAAATTCAACAAATACCGCCAATGGCCGCCATAATCGCCATTAGCCATATTCATAGTCATTACTGTTGTTGAAAACGAAATAATTTAAATATTCCATTGAATATAAAGAAAGACTTCGGTACACACAAATAATTTGGCACAAGACTTACTAATGATAGATAGATACAGATATTGAATCTTGATGAAAGACACTAAGATTTGGGGATTTTAATTAAAATGGCAATGATTCTCGATGGAGAATTAGCCATCCAAACACTGAGCACTGCAAAATATCTATTCGTGGCTTTTCACCCGATTGCAGACAATAAATGAGAAAAAAACACGGTTGTGTTGTGGCTATTTTACAATATTACTTTTTATAATTACACTTTTGTGGAGATTGTGTATGTATAATTGTCCATCTAATTTTTTTATTAAAAGCCTGGTCATTAATTGACCCATATGTAAGCAAATACCGTCAATTTATTGCGTTCGTCATATTATTTTGGTAGAACCGTTCAACAGTTTTGTTTGCATTTTTAGTTTGTGTAAGAGAGAAAGAGCGAAAGGAAAAGAGATAGAAAGAAAAAGAGAATGTGAGAAGATACAAGTGAGTATTACGTTACATACAGTACTTGTTTGAAGTTGGCGCACTTCAAAATTGTTTAACATTCATAACAATCGCGCTGAATCTTCCTACACACGTTTTTATTATCACTGCATTTAACTGTATTTTTCTCTATATATTTTTGAATTTAACACGCCCTTGCTATGACTTTTTCTAAGATTAGTTTGCAAAACCTCTTTTCCTCGTAAAAACTAAAATGCACCTTGACATTGATGATGCAAATTAAATAGATATTCCAAATGCCTTTCCAATGTACCTGATTATTTGAAGCATATTTATTCTAATAGTTCTCTATGTGTTAGTTATTTCCCCGAAACTGGAAAGGACGTGGCATCAAAATAAATGGCGAGCGTATCTCTCACTTGCGATTTGCAGACGATATCGTCATCATGGCAGAAACTCTGCAGGACCTACAACAAGTGCTGAATGACCTGGCTGACTCTTCTCTACGCATCGGCCTACGAATGAACTTGGATAAAACCAAGGTCATGTTCAATGAACATGTTCATCGGAACCGATTGCAATAACCGGTGCCTTTCTCGAAGTTGTTCAAAAATATGTGTATCTCGGGCAGATATTGCAGTTAGGTAGAAATAACTTTGAGGACGAGGTGAATAGAAGAATTTAGCTGGGTTGAGCAACGTTTTGGAAGCTACGTCGAGTCCTGACATCGTCAATCCCACAGTACCTAAAGACGGAAATCTTTAATCAGTGCGTCCTACCTGTGATGACATTCGGAGCCGCAACGTGGACACTGACGCTGCGGCTGGTCCACAAGTTCAAAGTAGCGCAGCGCGCTATGGAAAGGATTATGCTCGGCGTTTCTCTGAAGGATCGCATCAGAAATGAGGAGATCCAACAGAGAGATATAACCAGAGTTATCGATATAGCCCACCGGATTAGCAAGTTGAAGTGGCAGTAGGCTGGCCATATTTGCCGCAGAACCGATAAGAAGCTGGATGCTAGTAGCCCAAGATCGATTTCAGTGGCGTGCAATTGTAGTGAAGTGCAAGCAAATCAAGCATTGCTATATTCCAGAGGATGCAAAATATAGTCTTCAGGAAAATAGCAAATATACCGTGGTTTATCACAAATTCTGAGATCCATGAACACTTAAATATGACCACTGTGGGAGAGGAAATGCAGACTGCCACAAATAAATATCGAAACTCGAAGACTCGAAATCACCCAAATACACGAGTTTTGCGATGACACTGACTACTCGTGACTATGTAAAACGTCGAAGAGAAGAGACATAATATTATCATAAGGACATTCCAAAAATTATTAAGAGAAGATATCCTCGATGGAGGATACGCTTGACATGACAGCAACCTTAATGACATCTGCTTATAGTAAAGTACTGATTGCAGATAAACCCACAAGAAAAAGAAAAAAAGAAATTACGCTTTGTTCTGTCTGAGCCATGTCTGAGCTGATTGTCTGCACGAGCGCGGCGGGCAAGTAAGTATTTTGAGGTACTACAATGGACCTTCAATTAATGCGTAGTTGAATAACAAACGTAAAATATTTCACCATTATAATATAAAAATGGGTACCTACTATTCATAAAGTAATAACACAGAGTATGAATTTTAATTATAAGATAGAATAAATACATTGAACAGATAATATTTCGGTTAATTAATGTCTAAATTCTTAATGAAAATTACCGAAAACAAACTAAAATACACAACGTTGTGTCTGTTCTTGTAAAATATTCTTCTCCATATTTTATTGCGGCATCCGTTATTAATTACCCTAATGGCGCACAAGATCCAACTGCCTTGTTTTGCCGAAGCACTGCACAATATATTATGTTTTTAAACGCTTTTCTGTAAACCTAATGGGAATAAATAACAATTATGAACTAATGACAAGCCAGTCTTGCAACCTAGAAGGAGGATTAAATAGGATCCGAAACGTCAGGAATAATGAAAAATTGGTGTGGTTTCATGATATTTATTATATACAATGTAAGTGAAACTTTTAAACTCATTAATAAAAACAAATGTCCTGCCCCGGCTGGGATTCTAACCCGGACCGCCCGCGTAGAAGCCTAGCTTTCTAAGAACCATTTATGATTGTTGTTGACAAGGCCTGAATTTTTTAATAACAATTAAAAATATATGCGACTTGCTAAAGATGAAGGAAAAAGTTTAATTAATCGTGCTTTATACCCTGTTCAACAAGTATTGTATTAAATAAATTAGACAATTTGTATAATCACTGCCTATTATCTAAAGTGCTATCGCTTAATACTTACCTAAGATTCAAACTCTGCAATGAGCTGCTACGTTACAACGATGTTCCCAGTTTCCAATGTTGAGATCGTCCCTTATTGTTATTCACGTTAAGAGGGGAGGCGCGCAATGTTTTGTCCATACAAACGTTCACGACTGATTCCTCCTTGATTTTTATCGCTAAAGAGTTGATTTTTGTACATAAAATACCTAGATAATTTTACTCATTCCTTGCTCCTATGTTTTCCTTTATTCGATAACTTGTGTTTCAAAGAAACTAGAAGCCCTCGAAAAAGTCAGAAATAAACAATTTTTTAATACCACTAAGGGCGTCGAGTGTGAAGATTTAATAAGCATTTGAAAACAAATCAAAACATAGAAGCATAGTATAAGTACTTATTATTCTTTGTGTAAAATTTATTGTACATAATATCTAATTTTCGAGGAGGAAATCGTCGAGAGCCAAATCTCGAAATTTGCAATTCTTATACCGGCCATACACATTACGAGAAATCGTTACGATCAGACTGTACAGTTCGAACGGAATCGTAGCGTGTATGTTGTAAAACTGCACAGTTTTCTATACGTACGCCACGTACGATAAACTGTTCCGTTCGAACTGTACAGTTTGATCGTAACGATTTCTCGTAGTGTGTATGGCTGGCATTATACGCAACTAGTGGCCCGCCCTCGCTTCGCTTCGGTGTAGAGCTGTAGTGTAGACTAAAATGACTCTTCATATAATTATAAAAAAAACAGAAACTGGTATATTTGCCTTTTCCAAACTTCTATTGACATCACGCCACTCAATTGTTTTGCCATCCCAGAACCTCTCCACTAACATTTGAAATTTATGGTATGTTATTAAAGTTCAAATTCACTTTTCAATATTATTATGAATGGTTTGTATGTAAGTATAGAAAAGTGATGTTTTATACTTTTTTATGCATTTTTTTTCTCTGCGTAAGAACCATCCTCGTACTTTAAGGAATATTCTAAAAAAAGAATTATCGATATCAGTTCAGTTGTTCTCGAGATTTTCGCTTAGCAACATATTCAGCGATTCATTTTTACATTATAGATTATCAGAGTTAACTACTGTTGTCCCTATCACACGGTATTTTCCAATGCGCGACAGTGATAGTTTTTTTCAAATACATACCTATTTCTCAAATATCTCTCAGCTCACGTCCGCCCTTAACAACTCTTCGATGATCTTTTGTTTATGGATCCACAAAGTTTATAAAGTAAAACTTTTATTTGATATTGACGTCGTTGAAGGTGCGTAAAGACTACCTACGCTATGTAGACTATTGCGCTATTTATATTGTATGAGCATTGTATGAGCTTGCTATACGCGCTATGCATAGCACGTATAGCAAGCTCATACAATATTATAGCAGGGTGTGAACGTATTCTAAATAAATATAGGTATATGGTGCGCGGTATTATCGTTCTATGAGCCATAGTATAGTTTGAATTGAACGCACCTTGAGAAAAGATAATGAATGAATAATGGTTGACCATCTTTGGCTTTTGTGGATCGTTTGTTAAAATCATATTGTGTTTACCAGAATACAGAAAGAGGTTTTTTTTTCTATCAAGTTGTGCAAATACATTTTTCTTTGTTATTAGATATTGCTTTATTTTTTATTCAAGTGCACTTGCACTTGAATAAAAAATAACTTCGTTCAGTGATCAACCGTAAAAAACAGACGTACCTATTGTATTCTATCTTTCAATAACAATCGATTCAATGCACTGCAAGCGACGCACCTACTTGTAAGGTAGTGATAGTGCCTTTCATTCACTCCTGAGACTCCTGTTTCCTTAGACTAAAATTTAATCATCTTAAAAATCTGTTTATAATTTTATATTTTTATTTTAAGCACTAAATTGCTAGAAAATTTTACCACAAAAAAATTCATTCGCTCCAGGTTTCGGAAAGGATATTTCCGGGTTATATTTCTCACTAGCGGCCGCCCGCAACTTTGTCCATTGATTTAATGATAAATAGAAAAACAAGTATGGATCATGGGCACTAATAAAATTTTATCAAAGTACTAGCCGAAGCAAATCTGTTAAAACGAACCTACGGTGAATACGACCTTTACACCTGTTTCAAATACTCATAATAAAATATAAAAAATAAGCGCACGTCTATCAAATGAAATCGCTGATTCCGATTTACAGTGGCGCAATAATGAACATAAAAAATGCAAATCAAAATTCAAATTAATTTTAGGGAGATAAATTTTTACTCATTGCAATTTTTCTCCTGAACTTTGCCAATTATTCTCAACATTTCACTCTTGAACTTTCCGGCTTTCCTTTAATCATTCTGGTATGATGACAACGTATTTTTTCGAATATAATTATACGGCTGGCTGGCGCGGAACGTATCTCTCGATACGCAACAGCTTCTCGTTTGTTCTGGTACCGGGTACCGTAAGTGGTTACACTTTATGTCAATTCAATTGAGTTGATGGGCAATCTAAAGAAACGAAAAATAATGTGACTGAGACCAATTTTCCCCGTATAGGCTAGGGCCGATAAGTTTTGAGAGCAAAAAATAACGGAACATGTTGAACCCATACCAGAAGATATTAAAAAAAATAGGAAAATATAATTTTCTGGCGATTCGAGGTCGGGAATGATGGGGTGATCTTTTAAGGGGGAAAACGCGATTTTTATGGCGCATTACTCAGCGCACGACATCTTAGATCTTGTAAGTTAAGCAACTTTTGCAATGGCTGGTCATAGTTTTTCCACTGCGCCGTTGCTAGTTTACGCCCTGCTTACTGGCAGAGACTTCAGCACAACGACACGTACAACGCCGACGAGGGCGACTGTAATTGTTATATATTTTACATAATTATAATACCGAAGCAGAGAAATTATGGAAATTATCCGATACTAAAAGTGAGATACTTAGAAGTAACATAAATTATACCCTATTTGACATTGCCTGGCCTCCACCAGCTTCCACTAACTCCATAACAGTAACGATGTCGTATTTATATGCCGTGACGCCGTACTCAAACTAAGCCACAAAGCAATTACGAGTCTCCGCGTCCTGCTACCCGCTCCGCGCACTCGCATACTTACACGGTTACAATACATATACAACACACATGCAGTTTTGCTGGCCGGCAAAATGTTGGAGGCTTGCTATCCCAGCATCGGCGCCGGCACCAGCGGGAATCAATGCCAGCCGTGCCGGTGCCGGCAATTTAAAAAACCGAGCCATACGTTTTCATACATTTTTGCTTCCCAGGGTGACCAGAAATTTACTAACTCAATTTCTTCTGTGTTTTGGGAGACATATTATTGAGATTTTGGTGTCTGCTGCATTTGCAGTCCTAGGCTAGCACTCATCAATCCGCACTGGGTCATTGCCCGTGCTGCTTGACCCTTAACACGAACCAATTAGCGAATTGGAATAGTTGAATTCGATCTTAATACACGTAAAATGCCAAAAGTTTTGAATGGAAGATTTTTAATTCTCGTTACATCCTTGTAGCCAGCCATATAAGACATCGCAGATTGCAATAAATAGCACTTTACTGATTTTCTGGTGTGAGCTTCAAAAAACCTGTGCTATCTGCGTGGTGCCCCAAAAACCTCGAAATTTTCGGTCTTTTTTCGGCTTCTCGCTTATAACTTTTGAAGCTCCTTCCTATCTATAAAATAACTATCTACATTCTAAAGAAGACAAAATTTTCTACAAGTTAAATGCCAATTTAACTCTGATACATTTGGAAATACAGCACTACGGAATTTGCTATTTTCCCCAAAATGTGGGAAATTGAATTCTTAGCTGCATTCCAGCCAGATTATCAATTAAAGTACTCACTCTACCAGAAAAAATATGAGCACGAACTTGAGAAGCAATCATTTAGCTTTAATTTAAGAATAAGTGGGATTCTGTAGGTTCTAATATTATCGACGAAAATAATTAGGGAAATCAGATTTCTCACATAATGGAGCTTATTTTAACAACTCTCTTGGAAATTATGTATATCTTACAAAATAAAATCAAGAAAGATTCATAATACTGTATGAATTTACTTAAATTAAAGTATACAGAAATACTTTATTACTTTGAGAGAAACCTGGACGTGTAAAGTGTGGAATGTAAAGTGAAGGCGAAACTACAGCGGACACCTGTGATAGATAAAAGAATATTATTCCGAATACCAAAGGGCTAATAGTGCCCTCATCCATCCCTAATGGCACAATAACACTTGTTGGTTAACCCGTATTCGGATGCACGAAAGACATTTTCCGGTTTCGGGCACCCGATCCAATAATTGCAATGTTTTAGTCACGTTCGGGTACTGGAACACGGGAAAACGACCCTGCACCGTACCATTCGTTAGAACGTACTTCAGTGATGCCAGATTGGGGGGGACCAAAACTGGGGTACTCGTATTTGACTCCGTTCGTTTACACTTAGTCATTTGTCCGAACTCCATATGCAATCGTATTCAAGCTAGCAACCAAGTGTAATTGCGCAATTACACTAAGCCGTTTGTCCGAATTCCATAGGCACTCGTATTCGAACTAACGACCAAATGTAATTACGCATTTATTCAAACTTAAAAACAGAAGAATAAGTTGTTTTTTTTAGAGTAAAGAAACATAAGCTTAGATGTAAGGTATTTTTAAGATATAAATCTGAATTTATAATATTTGTGGCACTGAATTAATTATTTTATACCTTTTAATAGCAGCAGACACAATCAAAACTAATAAAAAAACCCAAAATTTTGACAAAAATAAAAAACATCACGCCTCTACAAGAGTAAATAAAATTCAAGCAGTCAAATGGATCAGTAACATTATCACGTTAAATAAAGAAGGAAACCGCTAGTTTCCATAACTATTACAACCCACTACAAGATACGAGTATAACACAGTCGTTGCGCGTTGATGTTATTGCTTAGATGCATAATTTTGTCCTAGAATCCAAGCTGGAGGATGTCGTTATACGCATTTACTCAACTCCAGCGCGTTACAATAAAATAGATTGAGGCGCCTTGAGAACGCTGCGTAATAAACAAAGGCTTATGTGTAGATTTCAGAAACAACAGCTTCCGGCAGGTAGATATAAAGCAAACTATTGCGCTATATGTCGTGACAATATGTATCGTGGTATGTCTATTTAAAGCGTGTCAATTATAGCATGACTATCACATAACTAAAATAAAAAATAAAACAAAACTGGTAATCATCTTTATTATGAGAAAATTAATGTCGCCACTGCTGGGGCACAGATTTTCCGTTACTGAGTCACGTTTATTTATCCAGGTGTCCCAAAACTTTTCCACTTGAGGAAAAGTACCACACATACTCTAGGTAGAAAGTTTTGCTGAAGGAAGACTTCATTTTATTTAAAAAAAACAATATGAACTGCATTCTAAAATTATAAAAAAAAATCTTTACTTGATTAGTAGTCAAATCTGTTAAATGTAAAAAAAATATTAACCGGTAATTTTACTGTACCGATGGAAAGGCGCTATTTAATGTTAAGCAAAAAATATATGTAAAGTAAACTTATTAATTCTAACATAGAACTCATATGTATATGTAAACTTATTCAATCTGAGGATAGCGCAATTATTATGGAAAAAAGACTGGTTTTCTTCTTTTGACGTCTTTCTACTTTACTCACCAACAGAAACACAACAAAACCACCAAAAGATGGTGTCATTTTACTGTAAGATGGTGGTTATTTCCCCAAACGGGCACAGCGATTCTAGCGGAAAATCCGCTATGACGTTCCTCTCTTACTAGGTTATTGTTGATGTAACGGTAGTGATAATTCTACTTTCTGCTTGCGGCAGTCTCGCCAAGAGAATCAACTTGCCCCATTATCATCATCTCAGCCATACAAATTATCGGCAGAACGCTTTTCTTAGTCGAGCAAGTAGCAGCTTCAATTCACTATGGAAACAGATAAAGGACATTGCTCGTTCCCAATACATTGAATGCCCTAGAACGCACAGCAATGAGAAAATGCTTGTTGTGTTCGGAATCATTCGTAAACTCTAATTAGGCATTTATTGAGATACGGACAACTTGAGGAACCGTGGCCTACTACGGAATGTATTAGATTTTGAGGTTATAATTATTATTCTTAATCGTAAAAGATGTACATTTTATATATTCTGAATAGATTTAGTGTTTACCGTTATCTAAGCACTATTTAATGCATATTAAATAAACATAAAATGCAATTGATAATAAAAATAATAAATGCTTATATTCATATTGATTTATGAGTGTTG